ACACACACACACCCCCACCACATTTGTCTTTCTTTCTCTAAATCCTCTTTTCATTCTGTAATCACAGGAAGCTTTATACTTCACTGTTCTTACTTGAGTTTTCTATTCCAGTTAGTCCTGTTTAATATCCTTCAACATCTCTCATGGCCTTCATAATCTAGCTGAAGCTCTTTATCATGTGTTTCTCACCCAACTCTTCTCCCCTATATCCAGCACCCTTTCCTCTTCTCTCAATATTATATTTTTGAGATATAATTCATATACCATTAAAATCATCCTCTTTATATTTACCATTCAATGGTTTTTTTTTGTATATTCACAGAGTTGTGCAACCATTACCACTAATTTTAGAACATCTTCCTCACCCCCAAAACAAACCCTGTACTCCTTAGCAATCACTCCTTATTCCCTCCCCTCCTCCAAGCCCTGGGAACCACGAATCTACTTCTGTGTCTATAGATTTTCCTCCTGTAGACATTTCATGTAAATGTATCATATAATATGTGTTCTTTTGCACCTGGCTTCTTTCACTTAGCACAGTGTCTTCAAGGTTCATCCACATTGCAGCATGTATCAGTCCTTCATTCCTTTCTATGGCTGAATAATATTCCACTGTGTGAATATGCCACATTTTATCTCTTCCTCAGCTGATGGACTTTTGGGTTCTTTCCACTTTTTGGCTGTTATAAATAATGCTGCTATGAACATTTCTGTATAAGTATTTGTATGGATATATTTTCATTTCTCTTAGGTATATACCTAGGAGTGGAATTGCTGGGTCATATGGTAACTCTATGTTTAACATTTTGAGGAGCTGCCAGACTGTTTTCCAACTGGCTGTGCCATTTTACATTCCCACCAACAATGTATGAGGGTTCTAAATTCTCGATTTGGAATTGTCTGTCTTTTAGACTTTAGCCATCTTTTAAAAAAAAATTGATTTTAGAGAGAGAGGAAGGGAAAGACAGATAGAGGAACATCAATTTGTTGTTCCACTTATTTATGCATTCATTGGTTGACTCTTGTATGTGCCCTGACCAGGAATTGAACAACTCTCTAACCAACTGAGCTACCTAGCTAGGGCTGACTTTAGCCATCTTAATGAATCCCTATCATCTTAATAGTAAACTTAAATAGTTCTTACTAAGTGCTAAGCATTGTTCTGAGTGTAATTTAATCCTCACAACACCCCTGTGAGGTAAGTAGTATCCCCATTTTACAGATAAGGAAATTGCAGCCCCCAAAATAAAGTGACTTCATTGGTCCCACAGCTAATACTTGTTAGAGCTAGGATTCAAATACAGTTTCGTTCTGGAGTCTGTGCTCTTCATATTATACTGCTTCTCATATATTCTTATAATGTGCTTAGTGATTATCTATTTGTAACTATTTTTGCAAAATGTGTATGTAATATAAATGCTGTTGTCTTATATGTCTCATTTCACCTCTCACTTTTTCTTTTTTTTACCAAGCTCTCTTTTTAAGATCCATCCACATTTTTCCATTTGTTCTGTTACCTGTTGCATAGAGTCCCTAGTATGCATCCACCACATGGTACATCTACTAGTGGGCAGAGCTCACAGGCCCTTCAGCACTGGCCTCTGCTCTCTTTCATAGTCTCCTCTTCCTTCCCTCCCTGAATCCAGCCTTTGCTCTGGAAATGTTGACTTTCGAGCACTTCTCAGAACATTCTGGGATGAATGGGATGTGGCTCCAGTCCTCAAGGAGATCACAGTCCAAATGGTGAACTAAGACTTAGATACCTGAGAAGCTAGGGATACTGCAAGTCTTCATAATGCAACAAGAGAAGTCACAAGGCCAGGCAGGTCAGGTGACCTGCTGGGAAGAACCTGGGCTAGAAGGTAGATGACCTGGGTTTGAGTCACAAGTTTGTCATCACTGTTTGTGCCCTATCTTCCTCTTTTGTGATGTGGAGATGATGCCCTTGAAGGCTGTTGGCACGCAGTATATTATCAGGAAACAGGGCGCTGAAAGTTCCTCTCTCCCTGACCCCTTATATTTTTCTCTGTGACCCTACTCTCTCTCTCTCCTGAATAGGAATTACTCTCACTTCCACCACCCGATATATGGAAACTGCTACACTTTCAATGGTGAGAACAACTCCAACCTCTGGATGTCTTCTATGCCTGGGGTCAACAATGGTGAGCAACTCCCCATACTCTCAGTCCCTGATCTCTGCCTCAGTCCTTCCTACTGCCCTGCCTACCCACATTTACCCACTTTGAGCTTCCATCCTAGAGATGCTGTGTGCCTCTGGGGTCTCACCATAACATGCCTATCTCAGTCCTGAAAGGAGTCCTCACTGTTCTTTGTCCACTATGCGTACCACATTGTCCATTCTGGGTGTGATAGGAATCCTGTCCCAGTCCTTGCAGCCTGTCCCCAGAATCCAGCCCATGGGTTGTCACATCCATTTGTGTCTTCCTGCTTTGCTCTCCTTGGAGTATTAGGAACTGGGTTGGGTGGGAGAGTGGGTTTCCATCCCCTAATGCTTTCCAAGGCCTTTCCCTGACTCTGATCCCTCTACATGTCCCAGGTCTGTCCCTGACTCTGCGCACAGAGCAGAATGACTTCATCCCGCTGCTGTCCACTGTGACTGGGGCTAGGGTAACAGTGCACGGGCAGGATGAGCCTCCCTTTATGGATGATGGTGGCTTTAACTTGCGGCCCGGTGTGGAGACCTCCATCAGCATGAGGAAGGCAAGAATGCTGCCTGGGAAGCCTGGGAGGAGGGCCCTAGATTGGCGAGGGGCTAGGGAGAGGGCATGGGAGGTGGACTTGACAGCCAGAGGTAGGGAGGGGGATCATTCAGGTTGGGCTTTGAGCATGTGGAGGTCTACAGGAGCAGAAATTAGGGGCAAGGGGGCTGACAGAGTGGACAGCAGGAAGGGACCAGAGGAGTGGACCTTGGATGAGAGTGATGAGAAGGGGTTCAGAACATGCTTAGGATACCAAGGGATGCTCTGAGCCCAGTGTCCTTGAAAGTAGCACTGAGATGGACATTGGGGTATGTTTTGAAATGGAGAGGCAGACAGGAGAGGCTGGCAGGGTAGGAGATGCAACCTGAGACTGAGGGAAGACAGAGAATTCAGGAGGAGGCCTGGGCCACTTGCTCTGACCTGTGACCTCTGACTTCTTGGTGTGTGTGTATGTTCACAGGAAGCCCTGGACAGACTTGGAGGCAACTATGGAGACTGTACCAATAATGGCAGTGACGTCTCTGTCAAGAACCTTTACCGTTCCAAGTACACACAGCAGGTGAGGCTTGTCTGTATCTATAGCAACCATCTCTCAAGCCTGCACTGTTGGTCAGTCAAAATTGGAGTGTGTGTGTGTGTGTGTGTGTGTGTGTGTGTGTGTGTGTAACCAGTGGAAAGAGGGATGGAGGTGCAGCACAGAGACTTGTTTCTCCTTCCCTTTGGGGCTGTTTGTGGGCAAGGGCAGCCTGACCTCCTTCCCCTTCACTCTCCTCCCCTCCAGGTGTGTATTCACTCTTGCTTCCAGGAAAGCATGGTCCGGGAGTGTGGCTGTGCCTACATCTTCTACCCGCGGCCTGACCATGTGGAGTACTGTGACTACAGGAAGCATGATTCCTGGGGTGAGAGTCTAGGAGGGAGCCCCTGGCCTGCCCCATCGGACCCAGGACTTTCCTGGGAGCCCTCTCCTCTCAGCGCCCTCTGCCTGGGCTGCTTCTGGCTCCCACTGGCCCTGATGAATTCTCCCTGTTTCTTGTTTTCCAGTCCTTAGACTCTCTCCTCTCTGTTTTCCACTCACTATGTCTGTTCCTTCCTCACAGTTTCTCCTTCTGTTTTGGCTTCTGTGTGTTTATAAAGGAATGGCTCCATTTATTTATTTATTTAAATATATCTTTATTGATTTCAGAGAGAGGAAAAAAGAGGGAGAGAGAGATAGAAACATTAATGATGAGAGAGTCATTGATCGGCTGCCTCCTGCACGGCCCTGGACTGGGGATTGAGCCCGCAACCCGGGCATGTGCCCTGACTGGGAATTGAACCCCGATTGCCTGGATCCTAGGTCGATGTTCAACCTCTGAGCCATGCCTGGCCAGGCAGAAATGGCCCCATTTAAAAATAACTTGCAGCATAAGGAAGGAAGAGCACGTGAGGAAAATCTCCCAGTTCCTTACTGGGCCTGCTGAGGTTTCGGTGCACACTCTGCCTATAGCTTCCTCGGCTCACTCCTCAAGGCCCTGGGTGAGGCACGCGATAACTCACTAGGTGCAGGGAGAAAAGACTGGAAGTTAAATGTATCTCTATCATTTCCTTACATCTTCCATTTTATGTATGTTTTCTAATGTACATTATGTATCTGTTCAATAGTAGCAGGTATGTACTTTATAAACCAAATACATGTATTGGAGTTGCTTATTTAAGAAGTTTTTACCTACAGGAGGACACAACCAAAACAATCCGGAGAGCCCTGCAATCTCCTTCTTACCCTGGTCTAGGAGTAGACAGATGCCTTTCTTTTTTCACTACAGCTGGGTTACTCAGCAGGGAAGCTGTGTACTAGGAAGCTAAGACAGAAAGCACCCTAAACAAGAAGCTATGGAAAACAGGGTTGGCTTTCCTGGTCACACGCTCTTACCTGTCCCAGCTGACTGGTCCACGAGTTCCCTTCTCCCCTGGTTCCCCTGGGACCAGCTCTCCCCCAGTAGGTGGGTGACTGGCCATTGCTGGAGGAAACAAGCCTTCACACCTCTTGGGGACAAGATGGGGGCATTGCAGACGCCAGAGTTTAGTGTCCGCCTCTGTCTTGGCTCTGCCTGTGTTGGTGCTTCTGCCTCCTTCCTTCCCTGGATCTGCCCCACACAGCTCTCTCCCCTGCCTGTACTTTGCACTTGGGGCCTCCCTTCCTGTTTCTCTGATTGAGAAGATCGTAGCGTGTCTGAGCTGGAGGAAAACACAGAGGTCTCCTGATCTCACCTCCTTTCCCGGAGGGGAGATGGGACATCCCCGGGTGTCCCAGGAAGTCCAGATGTCACTCCCTGCCCACTGCTTCCCTCTGTCCCCAAACAGTGATTTCTAAGTGGTTGTGAGTTGGAAGATCTGTGGGAGGAAAAGAACAATACTGATTGCTGAGAAGCTGTGAGGATGAGGGAAAGGAACAGGCTAAAAACTCAGCCTGTCGAGTTTCCTAAGGACCTCTCACTTCCCAGGGAAAAGCGCTCAGCTGTTCCCCAGTCTTCCTAATTAAAGATTCCTAGCCCTGGTTAACTGAGGAATTTGGGTCAGAAATGAAGGAGGACTTCTGGACTGGGTGACTGAAAGTAGCAAGAATGACAAAATAGCCCCGCCAGCGTGGCTCAGCAGTTGACCATCGACTTATGATCCAGGAGATCAGGGTTCGATTCCCGATCAGGGAAGGTACCCCGGTTTCGGGCTTGATCCCTAGTAGGGGGCGTGCAGGAGGCAGCCAATCAATGACTCTCTCATCATTGATATTTCTATCTCTCTCTGTCCCTCTTCCTTCCTCTCTCTGAAATCAATAAAGACATAAAAAAAAAAAAAAAAGAATGACAAAATAATCTTATGTAGACTTTGGCAAATGGGGGAGAAACGGAATCTATAGACCCATTGTTCTTTCTTTCCTTTTTTTTTTTTGGTTACAGCTTTTTGAGATAATGCAACTCATTTAAAGTGTACAATTCAATTTTAGTATAGTTTTAAGTTTTAGTATAGTCATAGATTTGTGCAACAATGGCCACAGTCATTTTTATCACTCCAGAAAGAAACTTTGTACCCATTAGCACTCTTCAAGCTCCCCATTCCCTGCACCCACAGTCCCCTTCTCCCTCTCCCACCCCCACCCTGACCTACCCCCACTCCCTCCATCCTTGGCAAGCACCAGTCCACTTTCTGTCTCTAGATTTGCCTATTCTGTACATTTCATATACATGGAATCATATAACATCTGGTCCTTTGTGATTGGCATATTTTTACGTCTCACCCGCCTTGTAGCATGTGTAAGAACTTCATTCATCTTTATGTCTAAATAATGTGCCATTGTATGGATAGAACACATTTGTTTGTCCATTCATCAGCTGATGGACATTTGTTTTTTTTGTTTTTTTTTACTATTGTGGCTATGAATATATGTGTACAAATTTTTATGTGAACATATGTTTTGAAGTCTCTTGGGTATATACCTAGGAGTGGAATTTCTGGGTCAGATCATAGCTCTATGTTTAAAATTGTGAGGAACTACCAGACTGCTTTCCAAAGTGGCCACACCATTTTACATTCTCAACAGCAACGTAGAAGGTTCCAATTTCTCTATAGCAACACTTGCTATTGTCTGTTTTTGAAATCGAATTTATTGGGGAGACATTGGTCTTTTGTTCAATTATAGCCATCCTAGTGGGATGAAGTGGCTTGCCATTGTGGTTTAATCTCGCTATTTTACACAATTGTCCTCATTCTTCTTTTGCCTTTTTATTCCCCCCCCCCACCCCGAGTTAGATTCATTTCTTAAACTTCTTTGGTGCAGCCACTCAGGAGACATTACTGTAATCTATTTGATACTCTTGTGAAGGGGGTGTCCTGGGATCTTGAGAAACCTCTTGGGTGTGGGTTAGATAGAGAAGGTGGAGGTGCCCTAGGAAAATGACACCTATCTGCACCCACAGGCTACTGCTACTATAAGCTCCAGGATGCCTTCTCCTCAGATCGCCTGGGCTGTTTCACCAAGTGCCGGAAGCCATGCAGGTGAGTGTCCCCTTCCCCTGGGTCACAGGTTGGGCAGCTGGCTACTTGGCTGGGTAGAATACAGGTGCTCAGCTAAGCCTTTGCGTGGGAGAGCCCCACTCCCATTACTGAGTGCCTTTCTCCATCCCCAGTGTGACCAGTTACAAGCTCTCTGCAGGTTACTCACGATGGCCCTCAGTGACATCCCAGGTAAAGTGGGGAAGGGGAAGGACAGGGGTCATGTGTGTGTGTGTGACACTGTGGTCTTCTCTGGGTATATGTATACCAGGTGTGTTTGACCCCACTCCCAACCCTGTAAGCCTGAAAAGTATGGGGTGACCCCCTTGACACTCCAATTCTTTCCCAGGACTGGGTCTTCCGGATGCTATCCCTACAGAATAATTACACCATCAAAAACAAAAGGTCGGTCCTACTTTGGTCCCAGCTCCAGGAAAGGAATCCTTGGGAGGGAAAATAGATCTGGAAAGAAGGACTGATACAGTTGGTTGGAGGAGGGTGTTTGTGAGGGTCCGAGAAGTTAATCCTCTGCTGTTTCTTCCCATCCTCTCCCCTACATCAAGAAATGGAGTTGCCAAACTCAACGTCTTCTTCAAGGAGCTGAACTACAAAACCAATTCTGAGTCTCCCTCTGTCACGGTGAGTCATGTCTCACTGAGCCTGTGATTTTCTGGAAGGGGGGGTCTAAGGGGCAGCTGTCAGGGAAAATGAGGGGTTGCCTCTGTTGGGTCAGAGTATCTGGGCCTTGAAGGTAGGGGACCAAGGAAAGGGGCGAGGAGTGAGGGTGAGGTTGAGAGGGTTGGAAGAAGGGGAACGTGTCTGGGGGCTGAAGCTCCTTGGGGTAGTGGGAGGGAATTGTGTGCCAGATGGGGATGACTTGGACAGAAGGGGCCTGGGGGGTCACCAAGAGGCTGAGAGAGGTGGCTGAGAACCTCAGGTGAGGAGGGATGGGGCTTCTCTGCTGTAGCCCATCCAGGGTCCTCTGCCCAGTGGTCAGTGTGCCTTTCTCCCTCACAGATGGTCACCCTCCTATCCAACCTGGGCAGCCAGTGGAGCCTGTGGTTCGGCTCCTCAGTGCTGTCTGTGGTGGAGATGGCTGAGCTCATCTTTGACCTCATGGTCATTACATTCCTCATGCTGCTCCGGAGGTTCAGAAGCCGATACTGGTCTCCAGGCCGAGGGGGCAGAGGTGCCCAGGAGGTGGCCTCCACTCCAGCTTCCTCCCTCCCTTCCCGCTTTCGCCCCCAGCCCCACTCCCCTACCTCATCCCTGCCAACCCCTCATACTTCCTCAACCTTGGCTGCCCCTCCACCAGCCTATGCCACCCTGGCCCCCTGTCCAGCTCCATCCAATTTGGCAGGGGCCAGTGCCTCTGCCTTCACTCTGGAGGAGCCTTGAGAGGAAGCCTGAGAGGGAAAGAGAGTGTCAGCCCCCAAGGCAAGCAGCTTCCCTTGGTGGGTGGGGACAAACCTTGGCAGGATTAACAAATGTTTTGAGCTTGCTTTTAGAGCTGCCCCAACTGGCTTTGGTGTGGGGGAGGAAAGCAGGATGAATGAGGGGCTACAGAAATTGCCTGGAGAACAGGGGCCAAGGAAGCTGCCCAGAACTGCCCTTGGCTCCTGCCGGCTACCCTCTGGTCCTGCTTCTAGAACACTCTGGTTTCCTTACCCAAGTGCAGATCAATCTCCTTTTCCCTTGGATCAGCCAAGTCAGACTTGGAGCTTTGACAAGGAACTTTCCTAGGAAACAACTGACGACCAGTACAAAACATAAACAAGGGCACACAAACGCATGCCCAGCTTTCCTACCCAAGACTGACTGGAGCCAGCTCTGGACAGGTCTGGCCACACTGCTTCCCAGTGACACAGACATTTGCTCCTCTTCTTGAACTTGGATGGGGAACCCCACCCAAAAGCCCCCTTAGTTAGTTCTTGGGCAATTCCCCTTCCCTGACTCCCCAGAGCAGGCCAATGTAGTAAAGGCTTGGCGATTCCCAGTCGGTCCTAGGACCCTTCCAGCCTCATCTATGCCACGCCCCCACAAAGCCACATCCTAGCACCTCTGCCCTGTGTCTTTCATACCCTCTGCAAGTTGGCTCAAACTATTTCCTAAATCTGGAAGCTTTCCCCACCATCAGCTGGAGAACTCCTATGCATCCCTTAGAACCCTACTCAGACACCATTACTTCTATGAAGGCTTCTGCCCCATCTTGCCTTCCCCGGAATTGATCACTCCCTTCTCCCCTGGATACCCATAGCACACTCTAATGTCTGCTGGATTGCCGATTTTGCATTTTACTTTCTGGTTCATTTGTGTCTGCTTCCCCAACTAGACTGTGAGCTCCTTGTGGTCAGGGACTGTTGTTCATTTATGTAAGCTCAGGGTCTAGCCCAGTATCTCACCTGGAGCAAGTAGACAGGCACTCAATAAATATTTGTTGCATGAAGAATGTCTGGAGAGTTGGCTGGGGTGCCCTGACAGGGGTAGGGAGTGAGTACCAGTCCCTGGATCTCTGCTCAAGCTCCCAGGAGGTCCTGGGGTGGGGGTGGGGGAGAGAGACTCCTATACCCCTTGGCTTTGCTATGGAAATGAGCATCCTTCAGGGGCCTTAGGAGAGACAAACTCTCCTGCTAGTTCCTCCATGGATGCTGCTGTGCCCATCACCATGGGTGCTCCCCTCAGGAGACCTACTAGGCAGCGCTTGGAATAACTTGCCCCCTGTCCATTGTTGGAATGTCCTTTTTCCTTCCCAGCTTTAGTTACCACCATCGGTAACCTCCACTCCGTTCTGCGA